TGATCAATTTTTAAAGCATTTGAACATAGATTTGCTTTAAGGATAATCGTGAGAATGGGCACACCCATTGTCTGACATAGCTATAACGGCACTATTGATAAGTCATAATTTTTTTTAATCTAGAGGACTCTGAACTTGACAGATACATTTTCGTACACGCACACATTCCGCACAATTGCACTGTACATGTCACAAAAATTTTTGAATGATTAAAAATGCTCCCTCTAACTAACGTGAGGGCAGCTATTATTACTTATCATTGCTATTATCGATGTCCTTATAGATCTGCCAGTAGCAGAGAATGTGGCCGAGAAAGAGTAGGAAGGTTCGCAATCTTTCTTCCTGCACTCGGTGTGGAACAACTGTGTGCCGTCAAAGGGGCACCATTGAAAGACACAAAAAGGAATCTCTCAAAATATGGGAAATTAGGTTTGGCTGACTACTTTCAGGATGAAGACAATTGGGCCTAATTGAGTCCACTCCACATTCCTCTGGACTCCCAGAATTCTGCACCTGAAGGCTAAATTGCACGCTTTTCAGCTCTTTTTGCCATTTCTTTTAATTGCGAATCTATTTTCTTCTTCCTTTCATTTACTTCTCTTCTCTTAAATAAGAAATGAGGGAAATGAGACTGGCATTTTTATTTGTTTACTTCCAGTGATCATTAGGCGTTCTCATCATATGGTATCTTTCTTGAAAATGATGCCTTCCTAGTTACACACCTGTGAAGTTTTATTGCAACTGCTCAAACGTATTTGTCTTAAGAGAAAGACACAGGGAAACTTTGGATAGTACCATGGGGAGGCAATTGGGTATAAGCTTTTCTAGGTATTGGTCTTGTGCAAAATGAAGATTCTCCTTATTGGACAAAAAAAATTTTAAAAAATGAATTTTTCCAAGAAGAAAAAATTTATGCTGTTTTTCCTATTTCTAAAGAGATTAAACTTTTCTCTTTAAAAAAATAAAAATTTGTGGGTTGTGTTCTTTGGGGGAGGGGAGAATGGAGGGCTGGTTCCAGGTACTGCAAAGCCACTGTTTCGCTGGTTCAGACAGAGTGAGATCGCGAAGGATTACCCCACCCCATATCTCTCCTCATCTTGAGCCATTTCTCACATCCTTCTACTGATGGGCTGATGCCATTCATACATCACTACAGAGGAGAAGACAATCTCAGTGGCGTTGGAAGCACCGACCAAAACCAGGTTATTCAATTTACAGCCACTCCTGATGCAGTGACAGCGATAAACTCTCTTCGGGTCCACTGCCCACCTTGAGGTTCTCTACACTTTTCACGAAAGAGTACTTTTGTCATAGGTGGAACTTGCTAATTCTTCCATGTTGAGTGCAAGGCAACTGGGTTGATGCAGAAACAGATCCTTCCATTCATCCTTGGTTATGGAGTTTCTAGGGTCCCAGAGCACACTTCCCAACCAGGTCTTGAGAACTCACTGCCCAATCTTGGAAACATACCATCTAGGACGAGGCACTGGTTTCAAAGGAAAGAGGCCCAGACCTCTTTCTTGATACAAAGCCTTACCTTTCCTTCTATTCAGTTGAGCACAGTTGCAGAAGAACAATAATGCACAAAATATATGCATGTGTCACCACCATTCTCCTGTATGTCTCCTCTCCCCCAGTTAAAGCACGGATGAGAAAAACTATAAGCACTTGCTTAGACTTGCAGATGACTATATCAGGCACTTGACATTAAACTTCTGAGAAAACAAGCTTGGCCAGAATCTTAACACTAGCACTCTCATTGGCATTACTTTGGTGGAAGTCCATATCAACTGTGTCTGGGGAAGGGGAAGGGTTTCAGAGTAACGGCATTGCTGAGTTCCTTTCACCCCTCGGATAAGCATTATTTGGTTATCTTCCCATGGAAAACCCGCGAAGAGCCATAGATGCTCAGAGACTTGTTAGATTTTCCTCCTTTACCCCTACCGCATCCCCACATGGACACCTTGAAAAAAAAATCTATCCAACAGGCCTTATCCACCTACCCTCCATACATAAAGTTGAAAGAGCACGTGTACTTGTGAATGTGGTCTTTAGTGAGCATTTACTGCTCGGTATGCTTCAAACTGTTGGGGAAGACCTATTGTCATATAGAGCCATCCCCACCAAAGTAACCCAAACAACACGGAAGCTGGGGGACATCTGTTATGAGGAAAAGCAATTTCCTTTTCCAGTGCCCAGCTTCCTGGGGTCTTATTTACTTGGTTTTCTTTATGACAGACAGATAAGGATTGGCTGTAGGCTGTTCCTCCTCGGAAGTGTGGCTGGGATAGGCAACTACCAGAGGTGCTTCCTGGTGTCCAGAGGAAGAGGGCAGTGCTGAGTTTCTTCGTGACTCTGAGGCCCAGCCTTGCCCTGTTCAGAAGGTTCTGGTGGCCTTCATGGCCCAAGGAGGGTGGGCCCCTTCTCATAGGGCACATCTTGGACTGAAGAACATGTACTGCTTGTCCATTTCAAGAACCTGTTCTTTGAAACCCCTAACTCTCCACAGCCTCCACATTTATTTTATTCCCAAGCATCAAATTGATGATCAGTAGACCACTCCAATGACACATTTGATTCTCATCCAACGTCTGACACCAACCCGACTCCAGGTGCTCAATGTGGTGACAGATCTGAAACACGGATGTCCGACTTCTAATTATGACTTTATGTCTGCTCATGATTGTCCCTGAAAACTTGGAATCAATACGCTGCTTTTGGCACATCATTTATGTTCCCAGACTCCGGCTCCTGGTGGCTCGCTAGGAAATGCAGATGTCTGTTTACAGCTGGCAAATGTCATATTAATTTCACTTGCACCAGCTCTAACGCTTGTGAAAGTGCCTAGGATTTTGTATGCCAAGGCAAAAAGGTTTGTATTTTCTATGTGCACATAGCCACACACATATTTATTATTCATTATTTTGCTGAAACAGTTTCCCAGTCGGGTCAGGGTAGGTGTGTGAGCTAGTCATTGTGGATGCTTCATTCTTACCCGCTCAGTAGGGCAGTCCCTGAAGCACAGGTGAAGCGAAACACAGCCTTGTGTGGTTTCCAACGCCCTTCTTCTGGATCACGGCATCCTCACTGGCCGAGTCCTTCCTGTCCCAGGAGATAATGTAAAAAGGTCAGATCAGCTCCTGTTTCTATACTAGGTCTGCTTTGACGATGGAGAGCTGAGGACATTCTCCCCCAGAGCTGGTGGAGCAGCAGCCTGTAGCAGAGGAAATTGTGAGTCACTTCCACTTTCCCCCTCTGTTTGCAGTGTTGTGTTAATCACGTGCTTGGAAATTAAGTGCCTTGCTCAAGTGCCCTCCTCAGCCCAGAAGAGCTTTCTGATACAAACACCAGAGTTGTCAACACACCCGCCATGTAATTGGCCTCATCGGCTTTTTACTGGATAGTTTTCAAACAGATTCAACTAAAACTGGAGCAGAGAGGAGACAAGAGCTGAAGTCATCGCACTCAGGTGGACTGCTCTCTTTCTGTTCCACAGTCAGATGTGTTTGTTTTCTTCTTTGCTCTTGCTATGAAGAAAAGCCAACCCTGGGGTGAATCCTATAGGTTCCTGACATACACTTTCTTGAAAGGCGGAGAGAAGAATGAAGGTTGGCTCCTTGGTCCTTCAAGTGTGAAAAAAGAAAAATGCACAGCAATCCAGGCTTCCCCAGGGTCAATTGACTTCCCAAGAAGGTGGCTGTGAAAACACAGTCTCTTCTGGGAACAGTGAGTGACTGATCATTAGAATTCTACTTTGGTCCATCCGTTAACCGCATCTACATTGGGTGGAGGGGATATCACATTCCAAAGAGTCCATGCCATATTGCTTTTCTATGCTGTTAGCCTGTGAGATCATTGGCTTTCACATGAGAAGCTGATAGGTAATTTTGAAGATGCCAATGTCTGCTGAAGGTAGAGGAGAAATGAATACAGTTGAATAGACACAATATGATTCACATTAATATGGTGATGAATTGATAGTGAGTAGTGAGGAAAGAAATAGAAAGAAGTGTTAGAAAATTACATTGATGGATTGACAAATAGAGTAAATAGATTACTAGAGAGAAAGATGGGTGGATAGATAATTGAATGGAGAGGAAAATCAGACAATTGAGTAGATGGATAACTGTATGATTACTTTGATAGATAGCTTGATAAAACCTAAACAATCAGCTATCTATAAATCATTTTTATGAGCTGAATAGCATTTTTTTAAGGGAAATACTATCCTCAAAATGTCTAACCCCCCCCTTTTGGTCATTTGACTTCTAAATTTTTAGTATGGGGTAGAGTGAATAGCTTCAAAGCTCGAATCCCTGTAGCTGGTGAGAAACGCATATAGAGCAGAGTACCTAGAGAAGATGCAATAATATA